AAGGGAAGGTATAATTTGTATTTGATTTTAAAAACTACTGGGGCACTTTCAAGAATTCTTTTACCATTCGAAATTCACATTATCAGTAACATGGGCCTTTTTCATTAATTTTTAATTCTACGCCAAAGCAAACTTTTAAAAATTATTTCAACTTACTCTTCTGTTGAGGACGGTGAACTGTGTCTTCTTGCAGTGCATGCATATAGCGGCTTCGTTGTCGGGCACCCATACCGCCGCGTGTTCAGATGGCGGCTGCTTACCACCTACAACACAAAAACAATAAAAACCATATCCTCAACAAAATTGTAGCTATGACGTTTACAGATTAAAAATAATTCACATACTTTTCCTTAATAAATCTTCTATGCATTTCTCTATGTGAGCCATCCATTCTTCTTTCTCTGTAGCTGTTGCCGCATACACCGCGAATGATTTAGATGCAGTGCGTATCAACCAGCCGTTACGATATTCTGGAAGTAATTTAAATACATATATAAACATATGTTGTTGGCGTGGGCTTACACTGCAGTATTGGGGATCGTGATGACCTTGAACGGTAAAGATAATTGCAAAGAAATATACAAACATCATTATTTAAAAAAGAATGAGGAATAACAAATATTCTGTGACAATGAACCCACAATAAGTAAAAAACTTTATACCTTACTGTAAAAGTTTACTGAATTTCATTTTACACAATTCTAAATTTTGGATTATTCCCAATCGTCACCCCACCTGTCCCCATGTGGTAACAGATGAGAAAAAAAGTTTTATCCATACCAACTTATAGTCCCTCTATTACCATTAAGGTGACAGATGGAACCGCTAAGAAATAAAATAAATACCAACCGGCCCCTCGACGCAAAAGGTGGGACAGATGAGTTTTTATCCCATTCTTTCTCCATGTAGGGACAGAGCGGGGTGACGATTGGGAATAATCCTTCATTTCTCTTCCTACCTACCCTTTCAGAAAAGGCTAACACTATGTGAATTAGAAAGTATCACAATATTAAGTAAATGATGTTCCTTATACAAATTAAACAATTTGACTTTGTGATTACAATGATTCAGTTGTATTTTATTTATGTAAATTAGTTGCAGATAGTTGATAAAACCATAGAAATGTGTCATACCATTGTTGACTCATTGATTTTATAAATAAATATTGATATGTGATTCAAACAAGTAATAAAATGATTTTTTTGTACTAGTTTTAAAAAACAATTTTTTATAAACTTCTGGAATGATCTCTGGGACTCAACATAGATAAAATATGACCATAGACAAACTCTCCACTTTTCAGATTACTGACAAATAATGTTCTATGATTTTAATATAATTAAATAATAAAAGAAAACATAATATATACCAAATCTTAAGAATGGCAATATTCGCATGTAAACTTTGTTTTGTCATATTTAGTTGATAATTTAGAAAATGTATTAAAGCCAAATCAAGCCTTTACTAGAACTATTACAGAGATTAGTACCTTTTCAATCCTAAGGAATTCTTAACTTAAATCAAGGGCTGGGTAAACTACGCTTTGGATTCATCTTGTGAAAAACTTTACATGGGTATTATTGATGCATGGCTTTGGACAATAGAGTAATGATAAAGAACAAAAGTAGACAATTTTATACTTTTTCATGGTTTTTTACTATGTTAGTTGAATGTTTTATTCACCAGACTATAATCTATAACATTATAATTATGAACACTTCACTGTTGTATTCATTTCATCTGTTTTAATTTAATATTCTTACTAAATATGTTTATAAAACTTACGCCCTTCATCTTTAAGAGACTCCAGCTTGACTTCCTCCAGTGGAATAACATGTTGCTTATTATATTTTTTCTTATTTATGACAATGTTGCCATACACCAAGATGTCATTGAAGAGAAAAAACTGACGGGCCTTTGGCTTCTTGCGGCACATTTTTGTCAAGACACCTTCTCCCACCAAAACCCTGCCTTGTTCTGCCAGAGGCTAAAAAAAAAACACTGGGATTGAACCTCCAATCACATAATTAATATTTATATCACCAATGATTGTATCATGTTTATATTCTAAAGACAATAATATTTTGAGAATGAAAATTACAAATCAGTCTTGTAATTTAATAAATAAGCTTACAAAAAAAAAGTACATTCACATCTCTGATAAATATGAGATATCAGTTCGGTCAGACGCATTCAATGTAGGTATTGAAGACTTATCTTCCCATGTTTGTCGGCTGATAAAATTACTATACATTGAAGTTTTTATTTGCACTAAAACATGGACTTACCTGACCGGAACTGCCGAAGCAGTTTTCCACCATTGCAATTCGTCTGGCATTTGCTTCGCTATTTACTGTAAGAAGAAAATAATAATCGCTCTAAATTGCGGTAAAGTATTAAAGTTTGACGTCAAAGGAAAGTGTCTGAATGAACAAACAATAGAAACTAGCACTTATTACATTAAGTTGTAAACATATATACAGTCACAAACTCGGATACAATGAGCTTTTTTACCACTTATGTTGAGTAATCTAGTTAATAGCCTACCTAAACGATCCACCATTATAGAAATTTATTTTCGATTCTCAAATTCGTAGACACTAGACACGAAACGACAGAGAAAAATGTGTCATTCTCTAAAAATATTGCCATCTGCAAATTTTTGTTACATTTTTGGTAGCGAAAATTTAAAATGCCACTAAAACTTATACAAATATTTCATTCCATTTGAAAACACTTAAAAGTAAAGTTTTTTAATGTTAAAATATAAACATCAAGAGTTTACATTTTAGTTGACATGCCCGTCTTTCTTACTACTCCACTTATATGTTTCCCCAAACACAATGCTGCGGGTAAAATCTTAACATGGAGTTATATATTTACATTTATAAATATTTTAAAATCTTTTTAATTTAGCATTTCACAAATCCATTAAAACCACTTTTACGGAATAAATAACCCTGTTGCGAAAAAATCATGAAAGATATTTTCAACCATAGACAAATACAAATCATGTGAGCATTCATTTTTAGTGTGATTTTTGACACTTGCTGACAGGCGGTGGTCGATATCTTAGGATTTATTGTACGTAATTTTAGTAAAAACACCCTAAAAATGGCCTGTAAAATCTGTGGTCCTAAGTTATCATTGTGCGGATTGATTTTGAGTGTCTGGGGAATCATCCAGCTGGTGAGTTGGTTGAGGTATTTTCAGTAAGGTCACAATCTTCAATCACGATAATGTAAATTTCTTATTACAGACTCTGATGGGAGTCTTCTATTATATAGAAGCTGTAGCTCTTCTAGAAGATCTGCCCCTCGAAGAAGAAAGCGGCCACCACACTGTAGATGCATTTATTCACGCCGTTGAAGTAGGATACCAAAGGGTGAGTAAACGAATTGTTCTTATTAGTCTAAAATAAGCCTTCAAGGTTTAATTATGAGTCAATTAAATAGAGTTTACTGAATCGTTTTTAAACATTAATATTATAACAATGTTGAAATGAAAACTTGTGAGATTTAATTACTATAACTAGTTACTAATGATCTATCAACACACATAAAACTGATAATTATTAGTATCTTCCGAAGAAGAATAAATTTAAGTCTACAATTACAGTTTTAATGTGTGTCTAAATAAACAATGGAAAATTTTATAATTATACAAGTAAAATGTGAATTAAACATTAAAAAATTGTACATAATAGTGATGCATGCAACAAAAAATCCCTACTTTAACTCATTCATATTCTGAGTTTTTATGTTTTTATTGTTATTACTCTCTTATTTTATTTTTACAAGATTTAAAATATTCAATGATCAATTCAGTTTGTAATGTGGCAACATTTATGTCAAGGAGTTGATTGTTTAATTTTTCCTTTCCAGAACTCTTACAACTGTTGGATTGCGGCTCTTCTGTATGTTATTACATTGGTAATATCCGGCCATCAGTTCTGGATGAACAACCGTTCGTCTGTTAGCATGTAATGCACAACAATTGTACTTTACTCTAGGTACATTACTATTTATTAGTTCCATTCCATTTATTATTGTTTGAATCATGTTCAAACAGATTTAAGAACATTAAAATGTTATCTATCTTGTTCTCTTCTGAAACAGTAAATGATTATGTTATAAGTTAATTGTAACTTTTCAAAGTGTTTAAAATGTTTATTACTATGTGAATATCTCAGATTAGACCATTATAGAACCTTTAAAAACTATTGTCGCATTTTGAACTTGCTTTGTTAAAAAAAAATATGGATTGTTGTAATTGCTTAGATGCAAGTTAAGAAACCAAGTAATGTTGAGTATTATTGATTTATGGTGATCAAATATCAAATATGTACATAAAATAATTATTATTGTAGGAGCATTGTAAAATGAATATATAGTATTTCTTTCAAGTAAAGTTAATAATGTTTTATTTGTTATTTATTTTTCCTGTTATAGTTCTAATTTACATGAAATATAATAATTCTACATTATTTCATTCTTTTTATCAATACAACCTAGTAAACTTGATAATGGGTAACAAAATGTGTATGGAATGAAATATATTTTATGTCATGTGACCCACACAAATGGTTGTGCACAGAAATTGGCAATGATAGCTTTTGCTTTGTTCCATAAACAGGTTAATGGCGGAAATAAAATAGGCACAAAATATATAAGCCTTTGTATAGTCAGTGTGTTAAAAAAAAATGTTCTTTTTAAACACTTTATTGACAATTCATGGTCAAATTAATGACTGATAAATGTCATGTCAATTCTGAAGATTTAAATGTCAGACTTAGTTTTTTCTTGCATTGTCAGTTATTTCAAAATACCTTATTATATAACTGAAATATTTCCGCAATGAGTATGTTGTATAGCTGTGGTTTATGCTGTATGTTAATAAGCGTTTGGGGAGTCGTCCAGCTGGTATTTTATTTGCTACTTTAATTGCAAATATTTAAAGCTAGCTTTCGCCCGCGACTCCTTGCGTATAGAATTAAAAAAATACTTAGTAAGTAGCCTATGTGATCTTCCAGACTATGTTCTACATCTATGCCAAATTTCATCGAGATCCATTCAGCAGTTTAAGCTACAATCGGACGTAAAGGGATGCGGGGGTATGGCGTTCAGTGCGTACCCCTTTCCATCAGCAATAGGCCCTGTGTAGAACCATGCATGAGCTACCACTTGGATCTTGTAATATACGCAGAGTTGTAGATGAACTCTTAAATATACACGTTCCAAGACAAACTGAAAGTTTATAAAATAACTGTATTTTCTCGATGTTTTTTCTCTGCTAATAACTTATGTATCTAGTAACGCTTACTTTGAATGGACTATTTCGTGTAGTTCTTGTTATTGCATCAGGTCTAAAATCTCATAATTGTGAACAATTATTCTTTGATTATATGTTATTAAAGGTCTTAATGGGAATACTTTATAAGATAGAAACCATTACGTTGCTAGAAGATGTCGAAGCTGAAGAATACGATGACTATGAAGACTTTATTAAGAAAACTCAAGAAAATTACAGTACGGTATGAAAATAAAAATCCTAATTGTTGAGATAGCATGATTCGTGTGGATGAAAGCAAAATGACTTTCAACTAAAGACATGGCGCCCAATCTAAGGAGGCGACTTTCTTGGACGAGGAGAGTAAATTGTCGCCGAAAGGCAAATTCGCTCTTCATTCACTTAAAGCACTGGTGTTATATTTTACGCAATTCATAAACAAATGTTTTATTTTTAAGGTGGGTTTGAACTGCTTGATCGCTGCTGGAATTTACGTAGTAATGATCATATTATCCTGGCTTTGCATGCATCAAGCTCAACGTAAAGAACTAAGGCTAAGAAAGAAATCGGAGGATGATGAATGGTATTGTGAAAATAAGGCCAAAGTTATTTAAGAAAGTTCATTATTTGTTGTAATTACAAGAAGAAGATATTAAGTTGTATTTTTTTAATAAAATAATTTATGAAATAAGTGTTTTTGTAATACTTACCTAATATTAAAGTGTGAAATGTTTTATCCAATAAAATAAAAACCTAGAATATTTACCGAAACTAACGAAATAATGTATGAAAAGATTTTTCCTGCTGTTTTCGACAACCACGATACAGGCATTGCCTAGTGTAGGCATCACCAGATTAATCGTATATTAACCACAATTTGTAATTATCTTTTAGTTGGTATAACTGGTATTGTAATTGTTAATCTCTTGTTTTTCAATAAAATTATTTCTATTTCTAATTTTTGTAGGAAAATGAAAGTCAATGATTCGTTCAATATATAAATATTT